TTTTTTTTCATTTCAGTACGTTATTTATTTAATTTTTACTAAACACCAAACAAAACATTATATACGTGTTTTTTTAAAAAATCTTGACTAAAATATATGTATATTAATCATATTTGATGGATTAATCTGATAGAATGTAACATTTGCATCTCCATTCATCTACAGAATCTCGGCAGTAGCCAGTATGATAGCCTTTGTCTCTGCAATGGTGTCTGCAATTAATTTCGTCCTGTACATTGCCACGACTGCATCGATGTATGCGCAGATGTTTTTTTTCTATAGGTCCATTTTTTGACATATCTAAAATAGTTCACAAGTAATTAAGTTAAACATTGATGATATAAAGCTTTGTTTACTTACGACCATGTTTTTTTTTCGTAACTTTAGCTTCAGATAAAACTCCGAACACTAACATGCAGACAAATAAACCAGCGATGAATTGAATGATATTCATATTGCCTCTGTAAAATGTATTGATATATATATATACTACTGAAATTATTTGATTATACACGTAGTTATTTAATATTTGGGGAATGGATTTTGATAATAGTACCTACAGGTATATATACGATGGGTTGTTGTGGTGTCATATTTGTTGGTAAAATTGCCAGATGGTTTTCGCGAAAAGCAGATAAGGAATAACTTTCAAAGAATGTATACAGATTGGTGTCATAATTACGCATTATTTATTTAATATTTCAATGTGATATTTCAATATCATGACTTTTTTGTTAAGATAATTTTTTGCACTTCATAATAACAAAAAGATGAATGTATTCATGTTGGGAAAAAAGAGTGATAAGAAAATGAAAATTTATAAGATATCATAAAAATATTAAATTCATTGTTTTATTATAGCTATGAAAGGATATTGAATTTGACTTGAATAAACAGCGTTGTATACTGGTAATATTGATTGATTTTGCACTTCTGTGATATCAAAAATGCCATCATATTATCAACAAAAACACGTCATAATTTTTCATGTTATTATTTTAACCACGTGCTTCCTACTTGATAGTGACAAATGTTTATTATTAGTCAACGTGAAAAGAACATACTTTTTTTTAAATTTATTTCACATAACACGCTTGTTTTGTACTGTACGTAGACAACAGATTGATATTTTTCTCAATGAGTCTTTTCAATAGCTTCATATTTTTTTAATAAGTAAAATCATTTTATTTATTTGACGCTGAAAACAACTAACTACTTAAAAAATGCACTATGTAGTTTTTATTTTGTTATTTATCACATAATATTAACACCAGAGAGATAAGTACTAAAAAAAACCAAATATTTACTTTAACTATACTACGCTCGACTTTCAACGAGGCGAACACTATACTTTCGGAGAAAATGTAATTGTGGCTCGTATATATTCCAAGAAAACTTAAACGAATGAATCATATGCATATATGATATCAAAAAGCGTCATTATTACTTTGAATATGTCTTCATATGACTAACGCAACACTGTGTACATTGTTATGATAAATAATGATTAATGGTATAAGCTAATTTGTTATATATACATTTCATAAACGAAATAGTAAATAAAAAACATTCATGAAATTTTAAGATCCTCATCTCATCTCTAAAAAAAACTAAGTTTTTATCAAGAATTTCAAAATTGAGAAAAATGCATGAAAAAAGGTTCTTCTCTCGATTTACACTTTTTCAATCGCGCATTCAAAATTTCTCTATCGAGACTCATTCAATATATTAAATTTTTTTTTGTTGGAAAGAGCATATTAAACTGCGCTTTAATATAGAATCCTGTTTAAATAAATCTTATATAATTATACTGCATCCTGACATGTTTTTAGGAACAAAAAAAAGATTTTAATATATGACATGAGTCCAAACAGAAATTTGGTTCGCTAAATAAGCTATTTTTGATTCTTGTTTAGTGAACATCTCGATTAAGCCTCATAGTAGAGCTAAAAATCTTACTGCACCATCAAAATTTGTATTCAAGATTGAAGGCATATGTTCGTGTTTCAGGAATCTCAGAATCACATCTTCATACGTATCTATTGTAATAATTATGGTATATGAATAGATTACAATGAGAATCTATTCATTATAATTATTGCAAATATTGATTATCATTGATGAAGAATTTAGTTCATATTTCGAGAATATATAGTATATAATTTAAATGTGTCGTTTTTTTCCGATTTATCGGTGAGATAATTTAAATTACTATGATACTCTTTTACAGACTTGATCTCTTCCTTTGATTTCTCCACACATAACAGGCTTTTGTTGTTGACTGAATTGCTTTTAATTGGTCTTATTTTCATTATACTGTACCCAT